GGGCGTGAGGAAGGGTGTGATAGAGCAGGAAGAGGCGGGGCGGGGGCAGAGCAGGGGCCGGGCTGGGAGAAAGTACTGACACACACACACACACCCCCACACCCCCAAGGCCACAGGGACTCGCGTGCCAGCAGCCTGTGACACTGATCACAGTTTGAAACCTCTGCTAATAGGGATTGTGCAACGCTGCAGATGTAATAAGCAAAGTCCTCTCGAGTGGCCAGGCTCTGCTCTGTGTAGGACCCAGAAGAGCTGGGCAAAGGTGGTTGGAAACTACCCCCACCTTCAGTGCTGTTGCCAGCTGAAGACCGCTCAGGCCCCCTTCCCCCTGTGCAAGTACAAGGAGCCTGGAGATTGCTCTAGGTCTGTGTTTCTGAACCTTTTTTTTAATAAAGTACCCCTTTTTTAAAAAAAAAAAATTATAAATACCCCCAGTACCTACAGTTTTCAGAGAGAATTTTTTTTTCTACCATTGCAACATATTTGTTTAAACAACTTAATTGTAGCCAGGCGGGCGCTAACATTTTTGGGTGTAAAAAGTACAAAAATAGTAAAGCGCTGTAAAACTTTAAACAAAAATTCACTTTTCTCCAAATTTCAGTGGTGTTGACGTACCCCCCAGACTTCTCTTGAGTACCCCTAAGGGTACTCGCTCGTACCACAGGTTGAGAAACACTGCTCTAGGGTTATGCCCAACTGCAGTGTATAAAACTATGGTACGCCCACATCTTGTATACTGTGTATAGATGTGGTCTCCTCACCTCAAAAAAGATATTTTGGCCTTGGAAAGGGTTCAGAAAAGGGCAACTACAATGATTAGGGGTTTGGAACGGGTGCCATATGAGGAGAGGTTTAAACGACTGGGACTTTTCAGTTTAGAAAAGAGGAGACTGAAGGGGGATATGATAGAGGTCTATAAAATCATGAGTGGTGTGGAGAGGGTCGATAAAGAAAAGTTATTTATTAGTTCCCTAAATAGAAGAACTAGAGGACACCAAATGAAATTAATGGGTAGCAGGTTTAAAACTAATAAAAGAAAGTTCTTCTTCACACAGCGTTGGAGTCAACCTGTGGAACTCCTTGCCAGAGGAGGCGGTGAAGGCTAGGACTATAATAGAGTTTAAAGAGAAGCTAGATAATTTCATGGAGGTTAGGTCCATAAAAGGCTATTAGCCAGGGGATAAAATGGTGTCCTTGGCCTCTGTTTGTCAGAGGCTGGAGAAAGATGGCAGGAGACAAATCACTTGATTGTGTCTTCGGTCCACCCTCTCTGGGGCACCTGGTGCTGGCCACTGTCGGCAGACAGGATACTGGGCTAGAAGGACCTTTGGTCTGACCCAGTACGGCCGTTCTTATGTTCTTATGCAGTGGACTCTAAGGATCTGGCCCAGTAATCAGGGTATCCTCTTGTTCTGCCACTAAGGAAGCATCTGCCTGCCAGGGACTGGAATCAATCTCTGGAGGTCCCTTCTGATCCTGTGATTCTGTGCTGGAGAGCTGCCAGTGGTTGTAAGCAAGCTGGATAGCATAGTGTCAGAGGGGTGCCTGCTTATCTGAGATGGAGAGCCAGGGCAAATACAGCCAGAGCTGTAACCTCCAGCCTACTGCGGGTTGGAGATCCGTGGGCTGCCTTCCAGCGTCTTTCAGACTGTGGAAAAGAAATGTCCTTGCTTAACTGTAGGTGCGGCTACCCTCCGACGGGAAGAAACAGGAGATGAGCAATTGGGGATGAAGAGTCGCGGTGAGAATGTCTGAGGACAGGGTGCTGTGTGCGAGCAGGCAATTCCGTGCGCGTGGGTGAAGTTGGTGGAGGAGGAGTTAGAACTGATGGGGTGCCGTCAGACACGGGCAGGTGGCTGTAGAATTCATGGTTGGGTAAGGGAAGCGGCAGGTGGTGGATGCGAATAGCGAGGTTAGTGGTCTGGTGGGAAGAAATCAGCTGTGGGCTCTGCTGTGTAAAGCTTAAATACCTGCTGAGAGGAGGACAGCGAGAGGCTGAGGGTGAGGACTTCAGGTCACTATGAGTCTCCAGCCTTTATGCGAAGCTCAAACCCGTTTCCTGTTCGCTTACGGGGGAGAGGCTTCTCGCCAGCTCTAGCGAAGCTTCAGCCGCTTCAGATGGGGCAGCGGTGGACAGAAGGGGCAGATTGGGCTGTTCAACACAAGGCTGTGTGCCCTTGATGCTGCTCCCTCTGCAACAGGAGGTAGGAGGAGCAATTCTTGCCAAGCGCCCGGCATCCCTCCATTGTGTTGGGACATCGTGCTGGGCACTACCCACCTGGGCAAAGCAGCGGCCATCAGGCAGCACCTGATGCTGCTGCCCCCGACGAGCCCCAGGGATGCTGCACCCTCAGGTCAGGCCCCAGGCAACACCGGATCTGCCTTGTGAAAGCCACAAGGACCCAGTCCGGCCTTTCCGTGGAGCTCAGCAGAATGTCTTGGCAGGGGCCCTGCGTTTGCGTGAGGCCGGAGCTAGCAGCTCCTGCTTCTTTCCACAAGCCTCCGCTTCCCCCAACTTTTAAAAAACAGAAGAAGAGAAAAGTCTCCCCCCCCCTACGTGAGCTCCATTGACCACAGCGCAGCGTTATCCCGGCTTCACCCCAGCGTGAGAGAGAAGGCTGGTGCCGTCCCCAGACCACCTGGACTTGCCTCCCCTCAAGCCCCATCTCGGTGCCTTTCCTCTGCTTCCCAGGAGCGAGCATGTCGGGGCGCAAGGAGGACGCGCGCTGCGGACAGAGGAGTCATGGAGCTGGAGAGACTGAGGGAGGGGGGACGAGATGCCGTGTACTTGGGCACCTGGCCAAGTGGAGGAAACAGAACAAACCCCTCATTCCAGCTGCGAGGAGCTGTCAGAGTAGTGACAGAGGCCACCGCGGCAGAGACGTCGCCGGTCAGTGATCTCAGTGCTGCTCGGCCCCCTGGGGTCGGCTGGTTTGTTTCCATTGCTCCTCCCTGTAAATTGTGTGCCTGAATTGCTGGGCTAATTCAGGGATTCCACCCAGGGAGCAGCTCCGAACCCGCAGCCCGCCACCAGCTGGAAGTGGAACGGTTCTTCCAGCTCATGAAGCTTCCGAGTTGACAGCCGGGGGAGGCAGCCCACCCCACCCGGCTGTGCCCTGTTCCTCCACCAGGACCTCCAGCTAGTTGGGAACTTGTCACAGGCCCAGCTGTAGCTTCGAGGCCCTCCGGGGTGCCCCCTCGAACTGGGATGGAGACCTGTGTTGCCAGTGTAACCCAGTCTCATGTGGTGCCCAGTTATGACCGGGGCCTTGTACGTGCAAGCCAGGCCCATGGCCGGGATGCTGCTGAGGCCTGCCAAACTCATGTCGTCTATGGCTGATGCATCTCCTGAAGTATCTTATGAAGTGGCTACCGGTCCTCGGGCACTTTTTAATTAATATTGCTCCACACTGTGCATGTAACAGCCTCAACCTGTGTGCCCCCAAGTCACAACCTCCATCCTCAGCCAAAGGCTGGTGACCTGGCCAGGGGCTATTCCCTAATCAGCAGATAGACTGGCAACGGTGGCAGAGAGAGGAAGGATGGCCTAGTGGTTAGGCTGTTTACCTGGGACTGAATTCTTGGCTTCATCACAGACCCCCTATGTGAGTTTGGTCAATTCCGTTAACTCTCTAGGTCTTGGTTGCCCATCTGGACAATGGGTATAATTGCCCTGCCTTGCTGAAATGCTGTGTGATTAAGCTAGTGCATATCGTCAGATCTCCAAGCACTTTCACAGACGGGAGACCTGGGCAGTGTCTAATCCAAGCAGGTCAGTGGTTGAGCTAGGAAATGAACACACTGTCCACTAGACCACACTGCCTCCCTAGGTTCAGTACACTGGTGTGAGCCACTCACATATTACAGCCATGGCAGACAGATAAGTACCATGGACAGACTCATGTGGTTAGTTAGTGCCTCTTCCCTCCTCCCCCCTTTCCCACTGGATTTTCCCCTGGGCACACACTTGTTAATGGCCTCTAAGGCTCTCTGGGCCATCCCCTAACCATCTCCTTCTGTCCCTCCCTCCCTCTCCAGCTCTTCACTGACGGCATCACCAACAAGCTCATGGCCTGCTACATGGAGGAGGGGATGGCGGACGCCGTCCTGGTGAGAGTCTACGGCCGGAAGACGGAGCTGTTTGTGGACCGGGACAATGAGCTGAAGAATTTCCAGGTGCTGCATGCCCATGGCTGTGCCCCCAAGCTCTACTGCACCTTCCAGAATGGCCTCTGCTATGAGTTCATGCAGGGGATGGCGCTGGGACCTGAGCACGTGCGGGAGCCGCAGATCTTCAGGTGTGGGGGGTGGGGAGTTTGGGCCACGTTTCCTTCTTCCGTGGTTCTGGCTGGGGAGGGACAAAGGCATTGGGGCCGATTGAGCCTGATTCTGCTGCTGGTCTTGGGGTGCTGCATGGGGGAGTTTGGAAAAAGCCAAGCCAGAGCAGAGATAATGCCCCTTTTTGGCCTCCGAATAGGAATGTAGCTGAGAGCCGGTGGGAGGCGGAGTAAGGCGTTTCTTCTTCCAGCTACCAGAAGCAGCTGCTGTGTGGGGTGTGCACTGCCTTTCTCTTGCAGGCTGGCCTTTCATCTGGCTGATGGGAAGTGCCCACAGCCAGAGGCCGTTGCCCCGAAATCTCCACCACCATGTGCCTAGATAGAGCCAGGACAGAGGCATGCATTAGCAGACCAGATTCCCTGCTGCAGGGTTGCCAGCTCTCCTGGTTTCTCCCAACTGTGTGTCTATTCATGAAATAGCCTGCTGGAATCACGAGATCAAGTCAGAATCTCTGTTTTCCTTTCAGAGAAGGAACTTGCCACCCTCCTGGTTGTTGCAAAGAGCCAGAAAACGTGATGCCAAGTGCAACCCGAGAGCTCAGAAACCAGAGGACAAATCAAAGGAACCAAAAAACTGCTTAGCTTAAAAACCCTCCTTTAAAAAAAAAAAAAAATATGTAGCATGATTTTTGACTCCTTGAGGTAGCCAGGGCTGACCTTGGCATTGTACCAGAGACTTACATTGGCAGCGAATTTGGCCCAATGACTTTGTGGATTTTGGAGACGGTCTCTTGGAGCAGGTGGAAGTCACACAGCTAAAATGGAGAGTGAATTTAGACGCTTTCAGCCTGACGTTTTAACAGCGGGCGCTGATTTTTTGGGTGCCCATCCTGATGTCCCTTGTGTCTGGTTTAAGAGGGTATTGAGAGTTACCCATTCACAAAGTTCTCACAGAAGGATCTCTGGGAGTATCCACCCTAATAGCGCCGCACTTGTGATTTCTTCTAGGTTGATCGCCTGGGAAATGGCTAAAATACACACAATTCACGCCAACGGGAGCCTACCCAAGCCCAACCTGTGGCACAAGCTACACAAGTACCTTGCCATCATGAAAACGGAGCTCTCCACGAAAGCATCCAACCCCAGGTAAAGGGAGAGCAAGGAGCCAAGCAAGACTCCTTTTCTGAATCCACACAATTCTAGCTAGCTGCAGAGCGCTTGTTTCTAGTTCTGCGTAGGGGCTCAAGTCATGTAGACAGGAAGTTTGTGGGAAGAGTCAGTGACGTAACCAGAGCTGGGAAAAAACAGAGTGAAGGAATCAGGCAAAGCCCTTGTTGGGTGCAGGCAGGGTTTTGTCTCACACCTGAAATTCGCAACAGGTTTGCCAAAAGATTCAATGAGATCAGTAAACTTTCAGCTTCGCTCCAGGGCATCAGGCTAGTCCAGGGTTTGGGCAAAGCGAGGGCAAGTTTTGGGTTGAAACCAAGCAACTCTGACCCCAAACAAGACAACGTTTTGAGGGTGCTCATTGAGTTTTGGGGGCTTGTTTGAATTCCAGAACTGCAGGGAGGGCAAACCACAGGGGCTACAAATGCAAGGAAAGAAAGATTCATCTGAACGGAGCTGCTGAGTTTGGCAGACATACCGGGGGAGGGCCCTGGGTCGGGACCAGCTGCAGTCCAGTTGAGTCTGACAGCATTACAGCAAGCTTAGACATTTCCTGCATAAAGGGGCACAGCATGGTACGCTGTTTCCAAGTCTCAGGCACTAACACCACTGGGAAACATGGCCTCGTAACTATGGTCTGTCCACTCTACAAACTGACCTATGGCTCAGCCAATTTTTTATCTGGACCCACCCACAAATAGACCTTCCGGTGTCTATTTGGACAAGACCACACAGGAGAGTGAACCCCGTTGAAATGAAAGCTCTTCTCTCTCCCTGAGATCAAACTGCCAGCCTTTGCCCTGAGTTTGCCTTGGAGAGATGATTGCTGTGTCATACAAAAGACTTTGGCACGATCCAGGTGGAGACCACTTAGATTGTAAGCTGTCTGGGGCAGGGGCCGTCTTTTCCTACTGAGTCTGTACCACGGCTAGCATGGTGGAGTTCTGGGGCGTGGCTCCTAGTTGCTGCATCAATACTGATACTATTAGTCATGATAGTTACCGGAAAACTCACCCTGGCTTTTAAGATTGGAGCTCCGCTTACACTGGGCTGATATTACACAGAGTTTAGTGTAATATGGGTTAAACCGGGGGCCATTGTAGATCAATTACAATGGCTCTAAAACCATTGTAGACTGAACAGACTATAGATGGTTTTTCAATGATCCAGACAATCCATGTTCAAAACCAGTCCTGTGCAGACAAGGCCTTGTGGGAGATGTAGTCCGTCCCAGGTGGGAGTATCTCAGCCTGCGTCAGGACCCACCTCCTTGGACGCCCTTGGTCTCGATAAGCAGAGAAGGTGAACGGACTAGATGGCACACCGAGTGCATTAGACGGTCAGTTGGGCGTAATGATTAACTAGCCCTTTTTTTTGGTGTCGCCGGGTTGCTTGAGGTTACTAGTTGAACATACGCCCCTGTGGGCTCTTGAAAAGTCCCATTGTCCTTGTGGTTTTGGGCCTGCCATGGTAGCTCGGGGCGGATCGTCATTTTGATCCACAGGGACCCTTCCAAGGCGCATTGCAACGTGAGTCGTCTTTGGATTTGATTGGCGTGATTGTTGCTGTCTTGTGTCCTAGATGTGAGAGGTGTTTGAGTCTTGGTCTAGTTCCTATTGGGCGTGGGTTCCGGATCACCAAAACCTCCGGCGTAGTTGATCTCGACTGTGAGCAATCTCCGCCTCGGGGACTCAACAGGTCCGTCCTAGGGAGCGTCCATCCATACCATTGTGGGGGCACGTTGATAGGATAATACAGGGAAGCGTTTGGTGCTTGATTTGTCCCTGCTCTGAGGCTAAGGAGAGAAACCCATATCTAGGGTTGTCGAGCCATGCACCACTGCTGAACATCAGAACTCAGGCACACACGACTCCTAGCCTTGTGTTGAGTCCATATTGATCCTCCAGTGAACAACAAGGTTTTTGCTAGGTGCAGTGTGAGTCTCCGAGATTGTGTTACATTAGGAGACCTACCCCCTTTCTTTCTCTCTCTCTCTCCAGTTATTGGATGCCATTGAACTTTGCAGCATTTTTTTAAAAATAAATATTTGAAAAGTAGCTTCTTATGTGTGGAAATGACCTCACAGCCTCTTTTCCCCCCTCCCCAGACTCCGTCAGGAAGTGCCCAGCCTGGAGGTGCTAGAACAAGAGCTTGCCTGGCTGAAGGAATATCTCTCCCAGCTGGGCTCCCCCATCGTGCTCTGCCATAACGACCTGCTGTGCAAAAACATCATCTACAACGAGACCCAAGGTACGTTGGCAAGCGTGTCCCTTCCCTAGCCAGTGGCAACCCAGGGGTACCAGGGTGCCCACTGGCCTCTTGAAGAGCCGGACACATCAGCTCTAACCGCTCCCCCGCTTTGCCTTCCGCAGACCATGTGAAGTTCATAGACTATGAATACGCCGGTTACAACTACCAGGCTTTCGACATTGGGAACCACTTTAACGAATTTGCAGGTGAGTCAGGCTCCCCTCTGTTCTCTGTCTCACCTGGGAGCTGGCCCCCCCCACGTGGTGGAACGGTTGGGTATGGCCCCCCGATGAGGGCATGTTAAATGACACGGCAGGAAACGTTTCTGCCTCTCCTCCCGGTGGTTAGCCCCGAGTGCCAGTTGTTTGGATGCATGTCGGTAGCCATTTCAGTTTGTGCTGTGGAGGCTTCGGCCCTTGCAACCTAACCAGGTCAGCGCTGGCAGGGGAAACCTCTAAGAGGATTTGGAGGCCGTGTGGTGGGAGATTGAGCCTTTTGTACTTCTGCCTTCAAGCGACTCCTCAGCCAAGAGCCCTGTTCGGGGGGGATTATGCTGAAGGTTCTGGCACCCACAACTGAGATCCCGGCTGCTTGTGGACATTTGAATTGCCATGGCAACGTCCGCATGCTTGGGTCATTCTGTTCCACCTCCCCGACATCCCAGTAGGGTTCTCTCCCAGCCCGAAACTTCTGAGCCGCGTTCCTGCGGGATGTTGAGTAGCTGCCATGTTCCTCTCCAGAGGTGGCGACAGTAAGTTACCCCTTGCCCTTTGAAGACAGAAAAGGGGTTGTAGATGTACAAATCATTTTCACCTGGCAGAATTAAGCAGGATTATTTGCAGCCTGAAACTTTTAAGTCCCCTTCTGCGTTTCACTGCTGAGAGCAGCAAATGGTAAGAGATCAGATCCAAGCTCATGCATGACCAGGTGCTGATGGGCCAGACTAGATGGAGGGCAGTGGTTCCCAAACTTTTCGGCATCACGCCCTCTTTTTGATTTTTGAAAAACCCTCCTGAACAGGGGCAGCAAAACTTGATTGGGGGGGGCAGGGTTGCCTCGGGGCCCACCTCCCCCGGAATTTCTTCACACCCCCGCCCCAGTTTGGGAACCCATGATCTAGGGAGGAGAGGAGTTTGGTGCATATCATGGTACCCTTTTGTTTCCTTATTCGAGGGGTCTTTCTTCGAGATCATGCCTAATTATGGAAAGCCCCCTGAAGAATTTCTAGGAGTAAAATTCTCATGGAGTACAGAAAAGATTAGGAATCAGCCCAGATATCTCAGAGAGGGAAATCACTTGAGATTGCAACTTCAGTGAAAGAAATCCCACTGCCAAAAGAGGGAGGGACAGGACACAGCTGCTAAACAAGTAGATTTGATCAGTGTACTTACACCATCCCTAGCTCTGGGGCAAAAACTTGTCTTGCCCTGGAATGGCCTACTCTGGCACATTTTGTTGGCAAAAACTGCCTTTTATTGTCAAAACAGCGAGAGCGTTTACAATGCAACTTTTGTCAGGAAAAACACCCAGTTTTGGCCACACAAATTTTCCATCCCTGCGATAGACTTTTGTCTTTTCCCCTCCCTTTATTGTGGACGAAGAGCCAGTGTGGACTCTGCTGCTTTGTTGAGAGAACTGGCTTCTGCCAGTATCCCACAATGCTTGCCCTGATGGCTCTGCTCAGTGTTTTGTGATCTTTGCAGGCCTGCACCTCTCCCCTTTTCAAGCTCTAGGAAGTATCTGACAGCTGAGTGAGCGGCTACATTTGGGGAACAAAGAGCAAATCATTGGAGTACTCCTGTGTTGCCCTGCTAGGAACACAGCGGCTGGCCAGCAGGCAGCTACTGCAGGGGGAGGACTGGAGAGACGGCTGTGCTGCTTTGACATTAGCTCAAAGAGCTTACAGAGAGAACCCCAAGAAGTGCAGGGATCAGCTCCGCCTTCCCACCACACTGCACTGTGGGATGCTTCCCCACAATGCTTTGATCTATTTGTCAACAGCAGAACGAGCAGCACAGCCCTGAAATGTCGACAATGGGAGGCAGAAAAACCGGTTTGCCCAGTTTTTTACTTTTGGCGACTTTGACAGCACTTTTGTCATCAACCCTTCCCAGTGTAGACACAGCCTTAGTATTTGTCTCCCAGGGGCTGATCCGATGCCAGCTGAAAGTTTCCCACTGACTTCCTGTCCCTCTTTGTCAGCACTTTGCCCTAGAGGAGTTCTCTCCCCGCTCCCACCCTCCTAATTTCTGGCTTCTGTTTGCAGGGGTGAACGAGGTGGATTACAGCCTCTACCCCAGCCGAGACATGCAGCTGCAGTGGCTGAGGTACTACCTGCAAGCCTACAAACCGCTGAGCCGGGACAACCAGGGAGGGGGAGTCGTCTCTGACAAGGAGCTGGAGACCCTCTACGTGCAAGTGAACCAGTTTGCTTTAGTGAGTGGGCGCCTGGCGGGGCGGGGAGAGCAGGCAACAGGGGCAGGGGTTCTGAACACATATCGTGCACAGGAGAAGAAAGCAGTTTCCCGTACGCAGGAGCGGGCTCTTCTCTGAGAGGCAGGACCAAGGGTCGATCAGCCCAGAAGGACGGTCTGGGATTCATACAGAGGTGGCCGGGGAGAGGAAGTAGGAACTGGTCCGGTTGCTCAAAGATATTGAAGTTCTTCCCTGGGTCTATGTGGCCCCTCTGTGTTGCATGTCGCTGCAGCCCCAGTCGTGAACACGCTCTGTCCAGGCGGGCCTGGTGCACCATCATTTGTGCAAAGAATCTAGGAGCTGCCGTACCTGATGAGAGCAATGGCCCGTGGCCAGCACCAGCTTCTTCAGAGAGAGTAAGCAACCCGAGAATTCAAGCGCTCTCGTGGAAGGAAGGGAACTGTGGAAGCAGAGGGGGAACGGATATGACGGATCAGGTCTCGCTAAAAAGCTCCGCCTAGTGGGCACATGGTGATATTTTTTTTTCCCCGAGGATCCAGGCCCCGTGGTGTGTACAGAGCAATTCGAGACCTGGTCAGTGGGAGTCAGCAAAGTCCGCCCACCAACACCAAGTTCCTCCGACAATAAGGCCGATCGTCTCTAGGAGTCCGATGGCCAGGAACTCTGAGCGCCACTTGACGCCTCCGGAATCCCAGAGCTACTGCCCCAGCTGACTCTGAGTCGTGCAGCCAGTGGGCAAGCACACTGGATGGAGCAGCCGGAGGCCTTTCCCTGATCGCTTCCCCCCCCCCCCCCCCCCCACACTTCCCAGTGATCACGGTTCTCTACTGTCTTCCACCTCGAGTAGCCATTTACACCTAGTAGGTGCCTGTTATTCAGGCCTTGCCAGCCTCAAGCACTCCAGAAATCACAAGATTGACTGTGACACTTGGGTCACGTTCTCAAGTTTATCCCTGCAACCGAGGCTAGAAAGTTTTCACACGTGCACGCACACTTGCACCTATGCTATATTACATGCAAGCTGAGACTCCCATGCAGGCACTTGATGGGGTTTTCAGAAAAACCAGGGTTGTTAAAACCACAGGCGATAGCGGTGTTGCCTTATGGTTTGCACATACGAGAAAGAGAAGGGGCCCCCAGCAGCCCTGATCCGGCTCTGGTTGAATTGCTGCTCTTCTCCTGCCACTGAGGTGGGGCAGCGGAGGACATCGGACCAGGCAGTGAGTGGTTTGCCTTCCCATGGCCCATGCATAGCAGAGCTTACATGAGGAAAATGGCTCCCTGCGTCACTCTGGGCCAGATTTCTGCAAGGGTCGAGCTCCCAATTAGACACCAAAATAAGTGGCCAGGTTTTGAAGCGAGATCAGAGCATTGGTTGCACGTCGAGTGCTGGGCTCTTCTGAAATGCCCAGCCAGAAGGGTCACAGTGGGGGAGCACTTGAAAAAAATCTGTGTCTGAGAGAGAAGGAAGCAAGGAAGAAGTTCTGCATCCGGTAACCCACCACCCAGAGAGGTGGGAAGCCAGAGAGGAGATGAGGCTGCAGCTTCCCCAAGACCAGAAGCCAAAATAAAGAGCAATGCACTTGGATTGTATGGCGGTGGGGTGATAACGGCAGGTGCGCAAAGACTCCAGTGACCCGTTGACTCAGGACAAGGCTTGCTGACACGAGAGACTGACGTTGCCAAGGTCACTTACATAAAACCTCCGGTGTTGGAGCTGTTACCGCAGCCTTTGAACTGAGCAGCTGGAGGGGAATTGCCCTGCCTGGGAGCCAGGCTGTAAACAACATCCGATCCCTCCCTGGGATAAGAGAGGCCCAGGCCTTGCCGAGCGAGTCACCTGTATTTCAACTCCCGAAACATTTCAAGAAGAATTGGGGGGTGTCTTTGCGGAACATGCTTCTGGCAGGGGATCGTCCTGTAGGTGCTGGGACCCAGGTGTCAGCCAGGGATGGAGTGGACCAAAGGCCGTCCCATTCAAGGAGACCAGGGGCTTAACACCCCGCTCAATGCAAGGGATAACATTTAGCTTGCTTAGACTGTCAGATCTGTGGGGCGGGGGCAGCCCTGTGGTTCTGTTTGTACCGCACCTAGCATGGTGGTCTATCCAAAGATACTATAGTCACACAGATAATTAATTAATAAGACAGCAGCTGACTGCTCGTTAGCCTCCAGTGCATTGCAAAGCTTGTGGGCCGAATCAGCAGAGATTCACTGGAGCTCACTGACTTATACCCGCTAAGGCTCTGGCCCCGAGTGTGTTGAGAGAGGAGTGTGATGGGAGAGGCTTCATCATCCCGCCGCGGAGGGGTGGGGGGGCTCTAGTCAGGTTCCTGACTCCTCTGTCTGTTGCAGGCCTCTCATTTACTTTGGGCCTTCTGGAGCCTGATCCAGGACCGATATTCCACCATCGAATTCAACTTCTTCAGGTGAGCCGGCCCCTGCAGGAAGGGAGGGAGGTGGGCAGTGCTTCCCTTTGCCACCGCACGGGCAGGCTGCCACACTGCGTCTGGGTCCAGGCGGGGGTGGAGGATTCCTGTTGCTGCAGCCCGGGGGGAGGCGTAGCGCAAAGGGGCGTGAAACGCCGCACCCCGGGATGGCTTGGCAGCAGCAGGGAGCCACAGTGCTGGGACCTGTGAACCTGCCACTCCTGCGTGAGTTAAGACACACCTCTCTGAGCCCACGCTGCAGCAGGCTCTTCAGACACAGAGCCCAGCCGCCGTCCGAGGGGGCAGCTTGTTCCGACCCCCCAGTGTGTCCATGTTCTGTTGCAGCACAGCAGAATGCAGCGAGGGATGGTGCTTGGTCCCGCTGTGAGCGCAGGGGACTGGACTCGATGACCTCTCAAGGTCCCTTCCAGTTCTAGGCGATAGGTATATCTCCATATTATAGTCCTGCCAGACAGGACTGCCCATTGATGTGTTTGCCTGCTGCAGAGTTGGACCATTCCTAGAGTAACAGACCATCCCCCTCAAATTCCTTCTAGCTCCTTCCCCTCCTGATCTAGTTTTAAACAGCTCAAGCAATCAGGAGTCCACCATTCCCCCGGGGGAGATGATTGCGCACCCTAAATCGCCCCTGTCCATCACGGCAGCAGGCATGGGTAAGCAAGGCCTTCAGCCTCAAAAGGAGGTGAGGGGAGGTCCCCGTAACACCGACAGAGAGGAGGCAGAAAGGCGCTCCCGCTCTCTTGAGTGAGATCTGTGTCTGTCTCTCCCCGCAGGTATGCCAGGCTGAGATTTAAACAGTACTTCAAGGCCAAGTCAGTGGTGACAGCGCTGGAGATGCCAAAATGACATCTTGAAGGTTGCTTCTGTTCCACTAGATTCCCAGCTGTTTTCTCCCGCACAGACTGGCTGCGGCCGTGTCCTCAAACCTCAGTCAGCCACCAGCTAGCGGAGGGGGCAGATCGTCTGAAGGGAGAGGGGGGAAAAGGGAAGAAAGACTTTCCAGGAAGCCAAAGATTAAATGAAGCCCCTGGAGCACAGTTATCCCATTTCTGGATTTAGCCCCATCGTCGGTTTTGCTGATGGGGCGGCAGTGCCTTCGGGGGATGACGCCAGAACTTGGCTGCTGTCGAGACTCTTGGTTCAGTGGCATTCAGGAAGGCCAGGAGCTCAGCTGGACTCAGGACTGCCTTGCCGCTTAGTATCGTCTGTGCGATGGGAGCTGGCTTGGACCTCCTTTGTTCCTTGGGCCGGGTGTCCCGGCAGGTATGTGCTTTACCGAAGCAAACTGTGTTGCTGCTTGGTGTCGCGTCCTCCATGGGGCACGGGGAATTCGGTCAATCCTGTCTCAAGTGGGGACGGGGCAGATGCTGCCCCGCTTGCCCCCAGGCTCCCCTTCTTCGCTATATTGCCAGATCGTCAACGATCTAGACCCCTTGCCCTTTATTCCTGAACGCACACTTGGGGGTTACACAAGGTAGCCTGCACAGGGGCTGGAGAACCTATTACTAGTCCCTGCCGTGGGCTAACCAAAGGCACATGGGGGAAGAAGGGGCCCTTCCTTTAGTCCCAAGCCTTAATGATGAGGGTGACAGCAGCTGGCAGTGACCCCTGCACCCCCACTCCTCAGCATTGTGGTTGCCTATGTAAGGAGGCCAGTGGTTGCTCAAAGAGGAGATGAAGACCCCCTGGCCCTGGAGAATGGTTCTGCGTGCCAAAGGAAGGAAATTTCTCTTCCCACATAGCACTCCTCACCTAGTGCCTTGTCCCACAGCTGGTCATGGGACATATAGCAGGGTGTCCTGGAGATGTGGCGGAGGATGCACATACCTCTTCTCCCCTCCCCTCCCCATCCCCCTCTACCCCGACGCTCTGCTGCTCAGGCAGTGAGGACCACGCGTCATGAAGCACAGCTGGCTCCGAGTTGCTAAGTTGAGACGTGAGCTACCCCTGAGCGCAGGCAGAAAGGGGGAGCATGTTGGGAACTGGAGTAGCTTTGCCTCGGGAGAACTAGATCCCTGAATGTTTAGATCTGGCTTGGAATTTCCCGTTAGCCCTGCCCGCCTACCCAGGATGCTGTGGGGCAGGAGGGGCAACTCTGTGCAGCTGCTTCCACTGGCCACACGAATACTTAATTCTGGGTGGGGTTCGCACCAGCGTTTTCTTTGGCCTCAACTCCATGGGGCCGTACTCGCTGGTCTCCTGACGGTATTTCTACCAGCCAGGGGCTGCTGCAGCCCACGGGACCACTGTGTGCGCTTCATTCCGGCCTGACGTGGCTCCCAGAGATGTGTAGCGAGCCGGTAGCGGATGCAGGCAGAAATGGTAGAAGCCCGGTGCTCTCCTTGTGGCCTAGGAGTACTCCATGCCTGAGTCGCTAGTGCTTCCCATCTCCTTCACGCTGGCCTGGCTGCAGGAAGGGGCCCCCACCCGCGTGTACGGGGGAGAACACAACGGCAGGGGTTACGGGTGGGGTGATGACCACAGCAATGGCCGGGAAGTTCCTGGCTGTGCGGTGGGGCCACACTCCAGGTCGGGGCAGCTCTGCACCACCCCGGTTGCACTCACAGCGGGAGCTGGGCATCGCACCCCCCGCTCCAAAGGTAGCCAGAGTGTCCCCCTCCCCTGCCACGCAGCCAGGGCTCAACTTGGCGCCTTGTGAGCAGCTGGCAGCATGGGCCTTTTGTTCTGGCAGAGGGTTAAACGGGCCAGGTCAGCTCCTGCTGCAAACTGGAGCCATTATGGGTGCTATAGCGTGGGGGGTGCACTGCAAAATGAGCACGTTTCTCCCCATTCCATGCCAAACCAGCGTCCGCCCCGCTGCTTACAGGCTGGCTTGGCACAGTCTTGCCCTGCTCCCTTCATCCGCCCACCTGGCTGGCCGCGATGCCCAGCAGCTCACGTTGTCAGGGTGGCTGCAGTTTTCTGGCGTCGAGCTCTGCCTTCTTTCTCCGTCCTGCACTTCACCTACAGGATGGTGGGTGTCGCCGTGGTTACGGGTGGTGCCTTCTGCCCGAGGGAACAGGTGCTCCCCTGACGTGGCAAGAGCCTGTTAGCCCAGCGTGTCGGGTGTTGTCTCAAAGGGGGAGCAAATAAAAAGCTGCTGCTGTCTGGATCTGCGTGGCATGCGGCTCTTTAATAACCAACATGGGACAGGGGAGCAGGGCAGCAGAGGGCCTCCTGTGTGCCAGCAGTGAGACCGGGGGCGGGGCAGGGTTGACAGGAGGTAGGTGTTGCAGGACTGAGCGCCAGGCATGCACGCCCCCTCTGGAATTAGCCCGGAGTTGAACGCTCTGCTCCCCATGCGGCGTAGCGGGAGAGCTAAAAAACCAATTCTAGCATCCACCTAAGTCAGCAGAATGGGGCTGTGAGGCTCAGGGCTCGCTGCGTTGGCTTAGGCCCAGCCAGCATGCAGTGAAGGGAGCTCCCCAAAAGAAGGCAGGAGCAAAATGCAGAGGGAAGGGGGGCTTAGGGCCACAACTGCAATGCTGTTTGGGTGCCTGGTTCCTGCTCTGGGTGCTCAGTGCTTGGCTGACAGGGCAGGGAGAGGTGTCTGCTGCTGCTCAGCCGTGAATAGGCAGCAGGTTTAAAACAAATAAAAGGACATTTGTCTTCACCTAGAGCACAGTCAACCTGTGGAACTCCTTGCCAGAGGATGTTGTGAAGACCAGAACTTTAACAGGGTTCAAAAAACAACTAGATAATTTCATATAGGTTAGGTCCATCAATAGCTATTGGCCAGGGTGGGTAGGTGGCCAGGGTGGTTTGTCAGAGACTGGAAATGGATGACAGCAGAGGGATCATGTGATGATTACGTGTTGTGTTCACTCTCTCTGGGGCACCTGGCATTGGCCCGTCAGAGACAGGATATTGGGCCAGATGGATCTTTGGTCTGACCCCAATATGGTCGTTCTTATGAACCTGCCTTCTGGGGTGAGATACCCCATGCAGACCAGGGGCCTTTTCTTTTGGAAAACAGCTCCTCCCAGCTGTTGTAGCCAACAGCCCAGTTCTGAGGGGATGCAGGAGAGCTGTTCTGGAGCCCTGTGTTGCTTGGCATCACAGAGACTTGGACCCCGGGTCTCCCACAGCCCACCTGGGTTCTTGGGGCTGTGCTCAGTCAGGCACGCCAAGGAGAGGGGAGGATAGTCGCCTCAGAGACCTGGATGGGGGAGTAGGAACTCAATCCCAGGTCTTTCCTACCTGGGTTTAATGGCCTAAGGACCAAGCTACTAGGAAAGTCGGAGGGGGAAAGCTGCTCACGTTCTCTTGATATTTAATTAACTATCAGGCTAGAGGAAGGCGAAAACACAGAGGCTATGTCTACACTGGCGGGTTAGTGTGCAAGAATGGCCGTTCTTTCGCAGAGCGTCCACACTGCCCACCTACTCTTGCGCAAGAAGATTTGCAGTAAAGCGTGGTAAGAGAGGGCTTCTTGCGCAAGAGCTATGCTCTTTTCTATCAGGTGTAAGCCCTCTTGCACAAGAGGTCAGTGTGGACGCGTGGCAGGCGGTTCTTGCACAAGAAAGCCCTATGGCTAAAGTGGCCAGCAGAGGTTTCTTGCACTAGAGAGTGTCCACACTGCCATGGAGATGCTGAGTGGCTCAAATGTGGGTTGTTGCTTCCAATGGGGCATGCTATGCCCAAAATAGAGCAGACTTTTATAACTGTAGTAATGGCCAGTGGGTCTGTCATGCTTCATGCTCTACTAACCCACCCCCTCCAACCTTCCTGGGAGGGACAAGCCTCCCCCCCCACTGTGTCCTACAGATTAGAAGTGGAATGAGACTCTCCTATGTCCCATGTATAGAATTAATTACTAGGCTAGGGAGTTTTTCTCTCTCTCTCTGCCCTTGAAGCTGTTCCACTTAGTAACCATACTGTGAAAATTCTAATATAAATGATAAAATTGTAACCAGTTTTTCCTTCCTTTAACATCTGCATTTCCACATCACAAGCTGTGACTGGGACACATCTGGCCCACTTAATGAGCCTCATTAACACGGGTCTTCCAACTGACAGGTATTTCTGCTGTTATACAGATCTATGTCTTGTTTTCTTTTATTTCCAGTCCAGTTCATCTGATGAAGTGGGGTTTGCCCAGGAAAGCTCACGATTCTATAGACGTTTGTTAGTCTCTAAGGTGCCAGGGTTGGCGATGTATGCTGTCATGCAATGCTTTGAAAACAACTAGCCCTCTACAGCCAGGGTGTCCCACCAGGTCTGAAGCAGTAGCCACTATAGGGGCTATAAAGTGAACTGGCCACATTATTCAAGCCAACTAGCCACACTCAACCGGCCAAATAGCAACATGGGGCACGGGGCTTCCTTTTGCATACTCCCCCATAATGGCTAAGCTCCTTGTATCTTATGTATAAAGCCAAAGGGATGAATTTAGGGACCATCCAACTTTTGCTGAATTTAGGGACCAGCTTTTGTTTTCCCCCACCAGAGGGTGCAATAGAACATGCTGTTGCAAAAAAAGCAAAGGTGATTCTGGGCTGCATTAACGAGTGTGTTGTGAGCAAGACACGAGAAGTCATTCTTCTGCTCTACTTTGCGCTGCTTAGGCCTCAGTTGGAGTATTGTGTCCAGTTCTGGGCACCACATTTCAAGAAAGATGTAGAGAAATTGGAGAGGGTCTAGAGAAGAGCCACAAGAATGATTAAAGGTCTAGAGAACATGACCTATGGGGGAAGGCTGAAAGAATTGGGTTTGTTAAGTTTAGAAAAGATTGAGGGTGGGGGGGGGGACATGATAGCTGTTTTCAGCGTTTAGAAAAGATTGAGGGGGCGGGGGGACATGATAGCTGTTTTCAGGTATCTAAAAGGGTGTCATAAGGAGGAGGGAGAAAACTTGCACATGCAGGATTTGAATCAGGAAACACCCGACCTCTCCCACCCAACCACTAAAGAGTGATCCTACTTTTCCAGGTGCCCCAGCTCTAAATAGTTAAGCAAAGTGGAACAGCATCAACAGGAAAGCTAGCGAGCATCCTCTTCAAAAGGCAGTGCTAACTACTGTGGGATTTGAACTCATATCACTCACATTTCAAACCAGTAACCTAACCACTGGGCTACCAGCTGTTTGTGCTGCCTGAGTGGTACTTAACTGAAGGAGAATAGCTTCAACAGGATGGGTTTTTTTTCCAGGTTGCTCCTTCAAAAGGCATCACCACCCACTCTGCAGGAGGGACTCAAACTCGCACTGACTGCATCCCCAGTGAGCAGCTTAGCATCTTTTTTTTCAGGTTCCTCCTTCAAAAGGCATCACCACCCACGCTGCAGGAGGGACTCAAACTCACACTGCCTGCATCCCCAGTGAGCAGCTTAGCATCTGAGCTATAGGCAGGCTGACACGGCCTGTTTGGCCCAGCTGATAGCTAAGGCAATTGGAACCACGTCCATGGACAAGCCAGCCCCCTCTCCGGAGTCAGAGAGCAACTCCCTACAGCAGCGGCTATGCCCCTTTACACATAAGGGGGATTTGAATCTGCCTTACAAACAAACACCCCAGCCACTGGGCTAGAAGGGGCACCCCATGCCGCCTCTGTGCTCTCCCTCACCACACACAGTGAAGGCGTGACAGTGGTGCATGGGACAGCTTCCATAGGCGCGGCCCCAGCTGTGGGTTCCTCTCTGGCTCAGCTGTGCATATGTGGGGGCTCCCTCTTGGAGCCTGTTTGCCCCCTTTTCTGGGGCTCAAGCAGGGCTGTGGCTAGTGCATGTACCAGGAAGGCTATTCTCCCTTGCCCACGCCCTGCATGCCTCTCCTTACCTCTCCCCAGCCGCCATCGGGGCTTGGGCCTACCTTGCCTACTCTCTCCCACCCGTTCAAGATGCCTCCAGTCTCCCTCTCCTAGCAGGGGCTCTGTGTGCCTCCCCATTAACTCCCCCCCAGCCAGGGGCTGTGTGTGGCCCTATACCCCAATTTTCTGCATCCTCTCCCTCCTTACGAACGGATCTGTCGCCTCCCCCTTTCTTCAGTTATGCCACAATAATTGGCTTCTTCGTCTATGCCACAGCTCAGCAGTCTGAAAGGAGTCCAGTCTCTCCATGAAAGAAAGGCTTCTTCCCCCGCTGCCACCCCTCCTTTTCCTTGGCTTTCATGTGTCAGACCCACTTTGTGTAACAAACACACAAGCAGGAACAAGTGAAACTCAGTAAACAGCTGCTGTTCCCTTCACAGGCACTAGAGGGCAGGGGGCCATAGCGTTTGGGTTGCATTCATTTCCAAAGTGCGTGGCATGCCCAGATTTGTAGGGGTGGGAGCCCGGGAGGGCTAATTTCACTTACTAACAAACAACCTCTTTTTGAACAGCAAAAACTTGCCGTGAGCCAACAGTAGCCTATAAGCCAAGAGCAGGCTTGCGGGGCACCAGCCAAGGAGGGGTCGTAGTGCAAAACCTCAGGTACCTCATATCAGGCATCTCCTGCAGGAGAGCACCCGACAGGGCCATTGCAACCAGATGCCAGGCAGTGGAAAGAAGCCAACCCACCTGGCGGTTGGATTCATCAGCACAAGGGCAGTCTGGGGAAACCACTGCCATGCACCAAGGAGGCAGGATGCCAATATCTCCACGGCTGAATTTATGCACAAGCTAAATCAGATACCTCGTAGGGCCTCAGATGAAGCAGGGCCTCTAAATACAAAATACTGCTAGATTTTAGTTGCGTCCTTGCCTAGCTACCGGTATCGATGCAAATCTAAAACTTTTCTTATTTTCATTGTCCTTTGTTAGAAGACAACACATTGTTTGGTAAGGCTGCGGAGCCTCAGCACGTCTTAATCTGGCCCTGTCTCAGCTGGTGACCGGTGGTGAGCCTGCAGCTAGAGGCTTGATACCAGGGTCATGGTGGGGAGAAAAGGAAAATGAGAGCTGAAGCAAGAGGTGGGAGTTGCTAGGAGGAGCCAGACTGCAGAGAGACAAGGACAGGAGCATGGGCGAGTAGCTTCCTTAAATGGTCTACATGCCCTGGCCACCCGGGCTGCTGGGGTTGCTGCCAGGGTGCCACATGGCAGCTCCAGCCCTCCATGTGGCCAGCAAGGATCGGGCTGGGGTGGGCGGGGCTTGGCTCCAGGGGCGTGGCCTCAGGTTTAAGGGGTGGGGCTGAGGTTTGCCTTCCCTAGCTGGGCCTCCCCCCACCACCCATGGACGGGAGTTTGCAATTACATAACTGGCACTGTTCCAGTGGGGGGTTCTGTCCTGTACCATGTAGACTTTTCCCAGCCAACAGCTGTGGAGCTCAGGAGGTTGAGTCAGACGCTTTCTCAGCCAAAGGGTGTGAGGTTGTTCCCAGTGCTGACGACCCACCATGGAGAGCAGTGCTGCAACAGAGAGTATGAGGCTAGGGCTGAAAGACAGACAAGCCAGGCCACATCAGGTAAGAAAAAACAATCAGCTGGATGAAAGTGAAGGAGCATGAAGAGGGGCGGGCAGGAAGGGAGGCGGCTTCCCTGCCCCCCCCCACTGCAATCTGTTCCCCAAAGCAGACGAGTCCAGAACTCTGCTCCAAAACATCCTCTTTATTGTGTCAAGAGGGGAAAACCAAAAAACAAAACCCCACCGTTGTAAACAGGTACGTGAAATATACAGGTTAAATTACTCGTCTTATTAACAAAATAAAGCTCTATCTATATTTACAGTCATAAAAAAAAAGCCAGCTGGTCACCTCGGCACATCTGGAGCACATTTACAAAACGGGGGGGCGATTCCTATTTCCAGCGGCATCCCTGCCTGTACAGACCCCTTCCCTTCTCCCCTAGTCCCACGAACCTGGAGCCCAGGGGTGGGGCAGGGCTACTAAATAACTGAGAAAGGACCTCCTAGATGAGCTGAGCCCTGCCCTGGGAAAGCCAGCACAGGTTGGGCGAGTGCTGACAGGGCTACAGGGAGTGGACAGAAATGCCACTGGGCCTTTGAGGTTGTCGCAAGGTTCAGCCTACAGGCACGCACACACGTCCCCTCAGTTCCCAAACTGCTAGGTTCTGCCCCCCATCTGGGGACCACTATTCACGCTCTCACATGCACACACACTGATTTCTGACTCAGCGACCAGCGCTGAGCCTACATTAGGCTCGAGGCCAGGGGGATGGGCCCCCGCCCGCATCAATGCAGAGGGCTACTGGACAGAACTCTAGAGAGACCCTCCTCCTCCCAGCCTTGCTAACCTCGGCAGCCCTCTAAGCTCAGCCAACGGATGCCCCTACCTGGAAGGTGCTACACTGCCAAAGGAAAACCAGACCACCTGGGATTAGAGGTTCTGAGGAAGCAAGACCAAGCCAGGAACGGGGCTCGGGCCCCAGGCCAGCAGGGGAGCGCTGCGCCAAGGGGACAGCAATTGCAACAAGGACAGCAGCAGGTGAGAAAACAAGAAGAAAGAGGGACAGAGCCACAGAGGTCCTGCAGATTCAATGCAGCAATACTGATGCAGGCCACTGGGCCAGTACTTGTGCCACACAGGCAACCAGCTATACCCATGCGACCTCGGGCGGCTCTTTCCCACGAGCCGCATGTCCCCCATCAACCTCCGTGGGCTGCGCTCCTCTAGTGGGAATGCCGGGGGGGGGGACGGGAGATTGGTGAGCAGGGCGGCGCACGAGGTGGACAACCCAAGGGGATGTCTTTGCACATCAGCCACCGTCAGATCAGGGGGCAGAGAGCGTAGGCTCCTCTCGCCTCCATCCCCAGGACAGGCCGAGGGAACCTCCAGCATCTCTAGCTGTTAGCAGCCTGGGTGCGGGGCTTTTCACTCCCGCAGCAGCCTGAGCCAGGCTGGTGAAGGAATCTGCAGGCAAGGAGCAGCCCAGCTCTGAGAGTGGAGAGAGCTTGCTCTGAACAGCCTCTCTCCTTCCTCTAGGCCAGGGCTAGCTCCCTGGATAGGCCTGTGGACTGCTGGCTTGTTCTGGATGCTGTGTCGGCTCCTGCCACCAGGGAGAGCCAGGGTCCTACACTAGGACCTGCCTGGCAGCCCTGAGGCCTCACTTGTACCATGCATGCTCCAGGCAGGAGGGAGCTGAAGGGAGCACAGCTGGTATGTTTGGTGGCAACAGGAGCTGGCAGCGGCTGTTGGCGCAAATAGATTTGCAAAGCTGTAGGAGAGCCCGGAGAGCAGCATCGGCTCCGGAAGGCAACGGGGTTCAGTGGGGGGAGCCACAGGGGAATCCCAACCAAGGGTCCCTGTCTGGTATAGGCTCCGTTAGCCAATGTGGCCCTGCTGGGACAGGCAGGGGCTCTGTGCCCCGGCAGCAGCGTGCCCTGCTACGCTGCTGCAAGGCAACGGGCAGCAGCTTTATTTACAAACTAGGCCAGAGCTGTCGGGAGTACAAAAGGCTCCTCGGAGACCTTGGCTCTTACTCATGCAAGGCGAGAGCTAAAAATGGCTCCGTGGGAATTTACTGGCAGGGCTGAGAGTGGGAGGGGGGACGAGAGAAAGGCCGGAGCGGGGGGCGAGGGCAGGATGGGCCGGAACTCTGACTGAATGAGGAACAAGTGTTCCACCCGGACATTTGCTGCAGAGACGCCAACAGGCCCCCGAGAGCCTGGCTGAATGGCGGGGACTGTGTTGCTGCAGCTGGCCGGGCCCAGAACAGGTGAGGATTCTCCTCAGCTGGCTGCACAAGAGCTTTCCGGGAGAGGGGGCCGGGAGGGGGGCGGTGGGAAGACAATGGACAAAGGTCTGCCCAGCCGCTGGGGTCTGGCCTCTCTTAACCCCTGCCAAGCCTGCCCAGCAGCACATGCATTTGTAACACTGGTGTGCATGGGGGGGAATAGGGGGATTAAGTGTCCAGCCTCTGTCCTGCACCCCCACATGCCCGGTTAGCTCAGCTGCGAGAGAGACTCAGGAGGCGTTGCCTGTCTGGGCTGTTGGTAGCTCACTTGGGACTCCTGGCCAACTGCTCCGAGCCCTAGGCGCTAAGCCTTCTCCCAGAGCGAGCACGGACCTGCAGTGCTGGGGGGGGAGAGGGGGGGCGGGAAGTGGGCTGGTTCCCTAGCCAGCAGGAGGTAGCGATCCTCCCCACTGCGGCGGCTCAACCCTACCTGCATCTCCTCTCTTCTGTGGTTTCGCCCCCGCAGGTCTGGCTGTCCGCGCACAGCCCCGGAGCACAACATGGCTCAGCCCAGGGGAGCTGGGTTCCTCCACATCCACCAGCCATCACCTTTCCCACAAGCCAGGCTTTAAACCCAAGCCCTTCACCCAGCCGTGCTAGACCTGCATCCTCTCCCCTTTGAGCCAGTGTTTGGGGCCAGGCATCTCTCCCCTGCAGACGTCAGGAGCTGCTCATGCCAGGCATCATCCCGGCTGCTGCTGGGGGAGATGCACGGCACCGCACCTCTCCCAGCTGGCCTGAGAACGAGCCCGGGGTTCCTCCCATGCCGCGTGCACTTCCTGTTGTCCCACATGCATCCGGCACAGCCCCGCAGGCCACGCCAGTTGGGGGGCAAGGGCGGCCCTGCTGCAAAGGGCTCTGCATGCAGAGAGGTTTGCAAGCGGGGCCACGTGAGTCTGGTCACTTCCTAGACCAGGGAGCCATGCGGTGACGGCAGATTTTCCACACCCATTCCCACCTCCTGCCTGCTCGGTCCACTCTTTCGTTCCAGTCCCACACCGCGAAATCTGATGCTGCCCCGCCCTTCGCACTCGCTCACCCCACCCGACCCCTGTCCTCTGCTCAGTCTGTGAGCACCACCAGCTCCCCGTCACTCTTGTCCTCGCCCTCAGAGTCCTCATCCTCGCTGTACCGGTACATCTCGCCGTCTGCCACCGAGTGCCTGTCCTCCTCGCCATCAGCCTCGTGCGACTTGAGGCTGCGTGTGTTGACGATGACAGGCATGTTGGGGTCCATGCTGCGGGGCAGGTAGTGCTCCATCAGCGGGGGTGCCAGCTGCATGCCCACCGGCCTCTGGTACAGGACCTCCGATGAAGACGCCTGCATCTGACTGCCCTGCGGCCTGCAAAGGAGGAGATCACCATCACCAACCCTGAGCATTCGGGCTGGCTGGGAAATGGACTCTCCCCTCCACCCACGCATGCACGTGCTTGGACAAGTCCAGTGAAAGTGAGGGGTGGAAATTAAGGGACATTTTCAACAGAAAATTAAGAGTTTTCAGTGGAAAAAAAATATTGTGGCCATATGCAGAAATACTTCAGTTAGGAAAGGCTGCCCTAGTTCCTCATGGGAGTTGTAGTTCTGTTGTCTCGTGGCCCTATTCTCTTCTAGAGGATGGGCTCGCATTCCAGACGACGTCTGCCATGATGCACCTTGGTCTCCCCTCATGGTGAGCGGAGGCAGTTGCATCATGGGAGCTGTAATCTGGCTGAGGAGCCCTACTCATAGGGGAAACCGAACTACATCTCCCCTGAGGGCCAACAGTCAATTTTCAAATTGTACAGTTTGGGGAGGAAAAAATCCAAAATTTGCCTCAGAAAATAGAAACTTTGTGAAAAAAAGGAATATTTTAAATGGAAAACATTTTGCATTAAAAAACAGTTGGCTGGAAAAATGATTGGCCAGCTTTACTGGGGGATTCTCTCTTCCTTCTGCTCTTTTTGGGCCCCAACCCCTTGCAATACTGAATAACTCCCTGACACTTCGCTACCGCGTACAGCGATGGATTCAATGCAATGACGCGGCTAGCTGTGCACCACTGCCCTCTACTGGACGGCCTCAGCTCTATGTCACAGCACCCATACGGCTAACAGCTAGTGGGGAGTCTCCTCTGAGCTTCTGGGACATGAGCAGGGTTGCCAGATGGTTTAAACAAAAATACCAAACATCCCCCACCCCCCCCCCCCAAATAAAACACCGGGAACAAAATTCTGTTGAGAAAAAAAAAGGAAGAGACCAAAGTTATTGAGAAAAAAAAAAGACCCCTTTAAGAGGAGGCTTTTTTGTTGGCAGCCATCTTATTTTTCTGCTCCAGCCACAAGACAGCTCCCCACGGAACCAGATAAGTTGGAGGGGAAGGGGGGACCTGGCGGGAGTCCAGGAGGGACCCAGTGGGGGATCCGGGGTCTGGGCCCAGTTGCAGAGTGTGTCATAGGGTTGCCAGGTGTCTGGTATTTTCGCCTCCTGGCAGGGAAAAAAAATCAGAAAATACCGGACATTTTAGGTGTCCGGTATTTTCTGAATTTTTCCCCCCAGACAGGAGGCAAAAATACCGGACTGTCCGGGTCAATACCAGACACCTGGCAACCCTAGACATAAGGATGTGGGGTTGTAGCCCCAATACACCCAAAACAAGGTCTTAGGGGCCAAGGTATGTAACAGAATGCCTAGTGGGAAATCCTACAGTTCCCCACTGCCCTGGACATATTCTGACCTCGGTAATCATTGGTGCACAGAAGTTTAGGACAGGAAATGAAGAGCAATACTGCTTCCTGTTGAAATCACAGTGGGGTTCAGATCAGCAGGACTATGTTCCCAGAAGAGAGGGGTTAGCTAACAGAGTTAGCTCCAGTTCAGCCTCTGGCAGCTACAAAGGCACTTGTGTGTTGGGGGAGGAGGGAGGATTGCAGACATACGGTGACCAAAAGAGATGGAAGCCTCACGCTATCAAGAAACCCTGCCTGGTGTCTTGCCGCCTGTTCCTCATCAGCGCCTTGTACTCGCCCACGCGCAGCCGCTTCCCTTCCACAATGCAGGTGCGTTTGGGCCGGGGCTTATATTTGTAGTCGGGGTACTTCTCCAGGTGCTGCCGGCTCAGCCGTGCCTGCTCCTCGTAGTAGGGCTGCTTCTCTTGGTTCGTCATCGACTTCCACCGGGACCCTGGGGAGAGAGAAAGCAAGGCAGGGAGAGTCACAGAGCTGTTACGTGTGCCCTCTGAAACTGCCCACCACCCATGGCCACTAGTGGGAACAAAACCCAGGTCCTCCCAAGCCACAGCATGGGTCTCTATCACTTGAGCTGGAAGAATAATTGTGTTAGCTGGTAGCAGTTGTAGGCTGTTGTACACTAATGGCCTGCCCCTGGAGTGGACGCGACACCGATGTTGCATGATGGCGTGTTGCACTTTTAAAACCCTTTCTCCTAAACCTGCATGGGACAGGCGGAGGAGGGAAGGCATCTGATAAGGCTCCCAGAGCAGCAAAAGGAACAGCAAAGATGTTTCTTCTTTCCACTTCTGGGCTTGAACAACAACAAAGTGGCTCCCTGGATGAGAGAGACTTTTGGAGTGTTCCCAAGGCTTCACACACATTAACGAATCCTTGTCAACATGCCCCATTTTACAGATAGGGAAAACCAAGGCACTGAATGTTGAGAAATTTATTTGGCTCAAGGCTGCCCAGTGAGTCTGTGTCAGAGCTTGGAAAAGAATCCAGGAGCTTCAGTGATTTAGCTTGCCACAGTATTGGTTCTTGCCTTCAAAAAACGATGGAGAGTGGCCCAAGCAGCGGGCTGTGAGTAAGACAGCCCTATGTTCTCTTTCCAAATCTCTCTAGAGTAATGGTGGGCACCCTGCAGCTTGTGGACCCTTCTCCCATTCCCCTCTTGTGCACCAGGCCACCAGAGCCCTGCACTTCAGCTGTTCAAGGCATTCCAGCTTTGGGGGGGGAGCAGCGATGGAACGGGAATCAGGCAATTCGCATGCTCTGAAAGTGCTGGAAGGGAGTGGGGAGCAGGTAAGTACAGGCTCCGGTGCTCCCGTGTGCAAGAGGTACATGGGGGTGGGGAGACAGACAGGGGGCCATAGTGCTGCCACCCACTGAAGTGAAGGAGGGCCACTAATGTGGCTCACCCACTATTCGTGGTTGCCCATCCCCGCTCTAGCGCCTTAGGCAAGTCATAATGTTCCACCGCCTCAGTTTGTGCATCTGTAAAATGGAGAGAATACTTTGCACACAGCATTCCCCACTTTCAATTTTACTGGAGGGCCTGTAAAATTAACAGTCTATAATAAAGTGTCTCCACTTTCCTAGGATTTTCCGAGTTTAGATGACAAACTAATTCTTCTTTGGAGAAAGCTTTCATTAGGGTTAAGGCTCCCGATGGAGACTCAGGAGATGGGGGTTCAGTTCCTGGCTTTGCAGCCTGCACATGTGACCTTGGTACATCACTTTGATCTTGTCTATGGGGAAAAAGCTTTGCTGGTTCTATCTATCTATCTATCTATCTATCTATCTATCTATCTATCTATGTGTGAGAGAGCGAGAGAGAGAGAGAGAGAGAGAGATCCACAGAACCTCTAAGTGGACACTTTTTCTGGTATAAAAGTGAGTTTTTTCATTTACCTTAAATCCATTCCTAGTTAGCCTGAGGTCAGGTCTATACTAGTCCCAGAAGATTGGTTTAAGGGACGCAACTCCAGTTGTGTGTAAATAACATAGCTGGAGTTGACATACCTTATGTCAAGCTAGGTATCGAATGCCAGAAGGGAGGTGGACAGGAGTGAATGCAAATCGAGGAGCACCAGTGCAAACAAGGGGCATGCTCAGTGTTCGAATTAGCGGGTCTTAACTAGACCCTCTAAATCGAATGCCAGAAGATCGATCTCTGGTGCGGCAAATGGAGATGTGACCTTAGTTAAGATCCAAAAATAAATGAGCCTTAAGGCAAAACAAGAGTCCACACAAGAATCTGCACCCGTGTAACTGAACCAATTTAAATTAAATTGACGCAACTTTGCCACGTAGACAAAGCCTCCCTCGGGGTCTCTAAGAGCTACTGTGCTAACAATATGCAGGGGTCATAGAGGCAGGGGAAGAAAATGTCATTTGCATAGGACAACATCTGAAAGCAAGAGGCATCACCCAGCTCAGGCGACTAGTGCAGGTCATTGTCCTCGATTGGCAGGTGCTGAGAGGTATGCCAAGCCTCAATGCAGTCTCAGGGGACACAGGATATCAAGGGTGGAGAGGAATGCAAGGCTGTTCTATGGAGCCTGCTCCCATTTAAATGTGATGATCCGGGCCATTGTTAACAGCCAGTCCACCTGTTATGAAGAATGCCTGCCTCCTCCCATCCCCTTGCTACTGACCTTTCCTGTCACCTCTCTGTCCTGCGCTTTTGATTCTTTTCCTCACAAAAGGTATGGGAAGCAGGTGCTGCAGCTAAAATAGACCGTCCTGCCATGTGACTCGAATTCCCCCGGCTCACTGACCTTTATTGTCATCCCTGCCAGGGTCCAGAGCAGGCAGGCAAAAGAGGGAGCGGCGCACAGAGCGCAGGCCAGCACGAAAGAGAAGGCCGTGCACAACCGGGACGTCTGGGGAAGGAGCCGGAGGAGAGAAAAGGAGAACCTCACGGGAACGGGGCCTGCACCCCAGAAAATGAACAGGGGGCCTTTGGATCAGGCCGCAGGATAAGATGGTTCAGATAGAAGTTCAGACACAACACAGATCCCTGTTCCGTGCGAGAAAGTCAAACATTAAATCCGATGCTTCTTCTTTCCCCTGCCCTTGTGTCCCAGATGCTTTCATGTCCCTAGTGCCAGGAGAGGAACAGCAAGGATGCTAGGGATACACAGACATGCACATCTGACCCGCCTAGGAGCTTTGATTGCACCTGCTTCACAGAGCCCAAGTCTGAAGGAGAAGGTCAGAGTAGGAGAGCCACACTCCTGGCAAATCACCCGCTCAGACTTGCCCTTTAAGGTGAGACAGACATCTGTCAAGGATGGTCTATGGCACTTGGTCCTGCTGTGAGGGCAGGGGACTGGACTCAGTGATTTCTCGAGGGCCCTTCCACTTCTAGTGCGCTGTGATTCTTTCTCTCCCGCCCCATGAGCCCAGGGCACCACCTTCAGTTACAGGAAGCAGGCAGGCCTTTTACACTACACCTATTTCTCCCACATATCTTGTGTCTGCTCTCCGCTGGATTCTCCCTTGCCCTGGGCCTTGTACAATTGTTTACACCCGTACAAAGGAGTTGGATTTGAAAGCCACCAGTTTGTGCCTGTGGAAATGACTCTACAGGCAGCAGAGATCCGGCCCCCTCCTTTTGGAGCCCTCCAATTGCTTTGTGACATGAAAAGTAACAGAGCAGAGGCAGAAGTGGTTTGAGTGTTGGAGGGTGGGACAGACAGGTTGTGGAGCCAGAGAACCTGGGTTCTGTCTCTCGACTGTCAGCTGTTTTTCATTGCCTTGCAGCTGTGGATTGGTTCCCCTGGACACACACTAATCTTCCAGGGCAGCGTGAGGTTTATATGGCTGTACTGGAAGGGCGAGTTTCCCCCAATCCCTGGCAGTCCTGGGAATAGGGAGAACAAGTGTTTTGGGAGTAGCCCCTAGTGGTGCAAACAGCATAGCATCGATGGTCTGTGTCTTAGGCTAACACTCCTGCACACGCACATAACAGAGCGAATGCACACTTGCGTGGCACGTTCCACCCACTTAAAGCACTTGATTAAATCCGACAGCTCCCCTGGGCAATAGCGAATGTTATAACCCTGGGAAACTGAGGCACAGCGGTGTTACATGACTGGCCCCAGGTCTTACAGCTATTCAGAGCCAGAGCTGAAAAAGAACCCAGGAGTTAGGACTCACACTCCTCTGTTTAGCCAAAGGGCCGCACGCCCATAGCAGTATCTCATGCATAGATCTCCAGGACTAGCCAGGCAGCCAGAAGGTACGCATGGCAAATATTAGCTTCATGCTTGTAGATACAAACATAGCCTTGTCCACATCTGCTAAATGTGTGCTTCTAGAGCAAAAATGAATACAGGCTGTCAAAACAAGAACCTCTCCAGTTATTTAAAGCTACGTAATTACACTATGTTAGCAGCTAGCCCACCACAAAGTGGCCGTTCTTGACACCCCCAAATGCTGTGGGTTGCCATAAGTAACAGAACAGATCCTAACATAGTGATTCTTTAGTGGGAGAATCTTTGTCAATTGCAGAGCCGCTCAAAAGGTACAAGAGACCAAATTAAAAGCACGCACTGAGGGTAGCCCACAAACCCCTGCGTTTGTGCTAATGCGCATTGGTTGCTTGCAGTGTGGATGGACCCTTCACAGACCACATCAGAGTCTTTAAATAGCAAGCCTAGGACAGAGCAATTCAACGTGAGACCACGGCAGGGCGAGCGTGTGTGCGGTGAGCTGGAGGCCCTTTGAAGAACGTGGCCGCCCAAGGGGCTTTGAGACACAGAGCAAAAGAAAGGATGTGAGGGTCTGGCAGACACTCATGTGATATACAAGTGCTACGGAATAGTTCTGCCCAACATTGAAAATCCACTTGTTAAGGCTTAGAGCAAAGCAAGACACGGTAACAGGAAAAAGACAGAATGGAACCACAGTGTAGAGTCATTACAATACAGAGTAACTAGGAGATTCGCCCGGCATTGCTCAGGTCCTTAACTCCAGTAATTTTTCTTTTCTGGAAAATAAAATGAAAATGTCCAGGCTTCATTTGAATCCTTGCTCCGGGGAGGGGCTGGGGAGGAGGGGTTCAGGATGCAGGCTGCCCTGGGGAGAGAGGAAAATCCCAGCCCCCTCTCACCACAGCAGCAGAGGCCAGGTGAGTGCCTCTCCATGGCTGCTGCAGCTCCAGTGGGCACAGCCGAGGAGGGGGGCTGGGGCAGGTCCAAGTTCATCTGCCCCCTGCGCTTGCCAGCCAGAGTGAGGAACGCAGCAAATGGTGCACTTTCCCCTCGCTCCCTGACAAAGGGGAACAGCCAACAATGTTCATGTATGAATCGGGGGGAACCCCCGCATCCTCCCTAAAGGGTGCTAGGGGGGTGGGAGGCTTGGGAAGTCCTGGATGGCGGGGGATGGGGGAGCGGTGTTCCAGCCAGCCCCTTCCACCTGCCTAGTGATTCTGTCTCTCCTCTATATGGTTTTCTGAGAAGCAATCCCATTCCTGGCACATCCCATTTTCCTGGCACAACCAAACTTTGACCTTGCTTTCAGTTATGGTAACAGGAAGCTGCCTACCAAACTTGGTGGCCCCCAGCTCTTACCGTTTAGGAGTTCTTGGACAGACAGACAGATGCACGGACTGACAGACAGACATACAAACTCTCAACTAGAGAGCAGATAAACTAGAAAGGAAAGATCTTATTGCAGTCACCACTGACTCCAGCGGGATCGGACAGCACCCAGCCCCTCTGCACGTTGGAGCAGAGCTAAAAGAACGTCCCCACCTCACAGGGTGCAGCAAGGGTTAGTGTGTGTCAAGCGCTTTCAGATATTCCAATGGACGGCGCTCTAACTACAGGGTGTTAACAGTCGGTAAAGCTGAAGGGCACTACGCCGGGTGTAAACACACCTGCCCTTCCCCTCTGGATTTGCTGGGGAGGGGGGTGTCATATCATGCTGTATCAGACTACGCTCGCGTGCACATTTCCCACATGCATGTCACGAAAATTGTCCCCGTCTCCATCCCCTGGGGGGATTCTGTGGCTTAGCAGCAGGGGACTGGCTGGCTAGGGTTCAGGTGCACTGGCAGGGCAGCAGGTGTCTGGCTGGCCCAACAGGAGCTGCCCTGGCAGAGCAGTTGGGGGACTCAGGACTGGACTAAAAGGGCTGGAACAGATTGGGAGTT